ATGATAGCTGTGGTAGATTCATTTAGGTAGTTGGTTTGAGAAGTTTATGGAATGTTAAAAACTTGCATTATACTAGTCTGATACTCTGGTTTGCATTCTGCTTTGTACATGTTGTTTTCCTTGAGAAAAAAGCACACATTGCATCAACCGAGTTTAGATATCATTTTCTCTACCTTACTCATATTATTTACTTGTAATACGCATTGGTCATTTACCTACCAATATCTGTGTTATCACCAATTAATAATGAATAATTTAACTGGGATTTTTGTTTCTTCTTTATTGAAAACTTGATTGGGAAGGCCAAACAAGTAGAATTCTATGCCCTTCCGGAAAGAGCAACAGTTCATGTGAAAAAGGAACAGATATTTGTCATCTGGGACATGAATGGGTTATTAGTTCTTTCATTTTGCTAATGTTCAAAACATAGGTTAAAAAATCTGTTTTCTTTCTCAGCCTTATTGGTTACTGCTATTGATTATGTATTGAATGTATGGGATTTGTTAAACATAAAATCTGTTTTATTAATAAATGTTTTTAAATCCTTTATGCAGAAGAAAAGTAGTAATCAACCGAAAATAATAAACTCGCTATGATAAAATCTGCAAACCACATGTTAATTTTGAGACTTGAAACTGATCCTAGTCTTGGTGGTTTATAGGTTCGCATTGCTCGAATTTTCAACACATATGGTCCCCGCATGTGTTTAGATGATGGACGTGTTGTTAGCAATTTTGTTGCGCAGGTTTGACTCCCTTCCTGATTTATCTTTTAGAATCTTCTGTGAGAGGACTTTGTGTTCTTATACTTTGTTCTTCCCATGTTTGTTCACAGGCCATTCGTAAACAACCGATGACTGTATATGGTGATGGGAAGCAAACAAGAAGCTTCCAATACGTCTCTGATTTGGTACTTGTTTATTTTTCTTCTCTATAATATATATGACTGACTGAAAGATTGAAAAATCTGAATTAAAAAAAGTCAAATGATGGATGGAAGATTTCAGTTCATGGGTGGGATTGAAATTGCACCTTAATACAGCTGCATATTTTCTAAATACGCTTTAACTGATTTTGAATGTTGAATATATTTATAGGAGTAAGTGGAAGAATATGTTTATGGAACAAACTACAAAGCAGCTGCTGTTTGGAAGTGTTAAATTGAAACAATTGATCATTGCTTGTAATTCAAAAAAGTTACTTTATGAAATTAATTTTCTAAGCTACTAAAAGTGACCAGTGAGATAGTGGTAGACTAGTAGGTGGTTCAAATCAAATAATCATTTGCATTCTTTATTTTTTAAAGCATTGTAAGGATGACAATGGTGAATTTCATTGTTTTTCTCCCCAATTTCACAGGTTAATGGACTGATGGCTTTGATGGACGGAGAACATGTGGGACCTTTTAACCTCGGTAACCCAGGGGAGTTTACTATGTTGGAGCTCGCTGAGGTATCTTGTCTTCATTCCAAGTTTATCACTTTTATGCCTTCCTTGTTTTGGATTTCATGTTTGGTGTTTTGACTTTTCCTTATGAGGCTCTCTGGTCATTTTCATTGTTGTGGTCTTTTTTCATAAATGTGCAGGTTGTTAAACAAACAATTGATCCAAGTGCTACAATAGAATTCAGACCGAATACTGCTGATGATCCACATATGAGAAAGCCAGATATAAGCAAAGCAAAGGAACTGCTGAACTGGGAGCCAAAAGTCTCACTGAGAGATGGGTTGCCTCGTATGGTCAGTGATTTCCGGAATCGGATTTTGAATGAAGATGAAAGAAAGGGAATGTAGTAAGGAACAGATGCAAAACCCTGTATGTATATGGAGGTGTCTCCTACTCTCTCCTTCATTGTTTCTCTTTCTTACATACAGACACAGTCAACATCAACAGAAAGTTTTGGTAGTAGGCCACATGTGTCTGCTGTTAACAGTTTAATTTTGACAAAATTAATTCTTTTCAGCTGTTTTCTTCTCTATTGTATTTGGTTAGAAGCTGTAGTTATTTGATTTTGATATCGAGAAAATTCTCTGTAGGAAATTGTGAATTTTCAATCCGATGAATGATGAATCTGTAGTATTCATTGCATGTTACAGGTCGATCATACAGTATTTCATTTATTTCATGTGAAATTGATATGATTAGAGTGGAAGGTATTTGAGCCATTTTCTTCAGCACTCAGGAGTTTCTACCCTTTTTTTTTATATATTTTTTGGACACTATCGATTTTTTTTATCTGGACTTATTTGGTTGAAGATGGGCTCTAAATTAGTATTAACTTTGCCTGTTGTAACATCGAAAAATAAAAGCAAACTTCTACACCTGTTCCGAAAGATTATACATTATTAATTGATCAAGGCCCAAAAATAAAAAACAAAAATCATTGAGACTATTAAGAATACAGACAATAGATGTATGGATTAGAACATTAGGCTTTACTCCACAGTTAGCTTTGGTCTTCCTCTAAAAGGCTTTTGGCAATGTGTAAAATTGAAGAGGAATTTGCATAAAAGGGATAAAAGAAAAATCGTTATCATGATTCAAAGATGGGAAAAGGAAGGAGGAAAGCCGGTGAAGCATCTGATACCATGATTTGTGAAGGAAACTTCATAAGGGAAGAGAGGAAAAAAAAAAGTGGCTTTGCATCTCATCCATCCACGGGAAAGCAAAATTCCAAAGGGTTATTTAAATACTAGAATTTGTTCCATTCGAATCTTCAAAATGCTCTGTTCAACTTGCTCAATTCTTATGTCACCGCCTTCATAATTGTTTTATTTTAATTTATGAACACCAAAAAATAAGAAAAATTTTAGATTTACAAAGGTAAAAAGAAAAAAAAAATTCCCCTTGCACCGGAGAAAAAGCCATGTCTTTCAATTTTATTACCTTTCAAATTGCACTAAAAATGTTTGATTTGGTATCTAACACTATCTATTATTCTAAATTCTAATACTTCGATTCACAGCAAAACTATCTATATAAATTGTGGAGTTTTGAGCATCTCAATGAACTTCAACACATGAAATTGCTGCAATGTTTCATCACCTGACCAAGTTTTCAGTGTCAATTTTCAAGTGCATGGATGATGGGTGAGCACTGAGTA